AGCTGGGTGCTGGCAGGCTTGCACCTGGCACGGGCACCGTAGCCAGCCCGTGCCCCTTTAAGGGGTCCGGGGCCGGGAGGGGGGCATAGAGTTTCCCTGGTGTTGGCCAGAGTGGCCACCAGGGAAACCTGGGAAGCCTTAGCCTCCCCCTAGTTCGAACTAAAGGGCTACACAGCCCTTAGTTCGAACTAGCTAGTTCGAACTAGGCGTTAGTCCTCGTAAAATGAGGTTTACCTAGTTCGAACTAAGCGCTCCGCTAGTTCGATTCAAATTCGAACTAGCGGAGCGCTAGTGTAGCACCTATTAAAGTTAGTTCGAACTAACGTCCGTTAGTTCGAACTAACTTTGTAGTGTAGACATACCCTCCGTGTGCTGCTTGTGCTTACTTGTGCTCTCATATGGAGCTGAATTCTCCCTGCGGCCAATTCCCTGTCCCGCTGGAGCTCTCCTGCAGGGACTAGATTCCCCAGGCTGGGGTCCTTCCCACCTTAGCAACACACACAGACACTCACACCCACTAAAAGAGTACGCCAGAAAGGACAGGGTAATCAGCACTCACAAGCTGACCCCTCATATGTCGCTGGATGCAGCAGGCTGGGTTAACAGCAATGCCCTCGTGAGCCTTTGGACTCAGTGGGCTAGATTAAACAGCACTTTAAGCTACCATCCTCATAAGCCTTCAGGTTCAGCACTTCCCTATCCCCACTTTCACACCACAATCATTTACTGGTGAACCACACGATGAGCAAACCCAACAGGACTTTGGGCACTACAGGGATCTTTAGCTTGGGTACGAGAAGTGTTGTTGCAGAGCGAATGGGGAAGTCAAAACAACACCCCTTGAGGAAGAGTTGTTTAAGAACACTTAAAGATATATCTCAAGGGACAAGATCTTAATACAAAGTTATATGAGAATGATATTACAGGGATTTATCCACATTGTCCCCCTTTTGACCCCTCAAGAACAATTCTTGAGTGGGTCACACTTTATATAACTGATTAATGGCAATATACTGAGAAGCAATTTGAGCTTGTGGTTGTAATTCAATAAATATTCTCTTTATCCAACAACACTTTTAATAAACAATATTTTGTAATAGGATGGAAGTCCAAGTGAGTGACCAACCCTTATGTGTAAAATGTAGTTACATCATATACATTGCTGCACAGGGAGTTTAAAGAAATGCCTCCTGTATTGATCCCATAAATTCCCTGCTAACAACAGCATAATTGTCAGAGGGGGAAATACTGGCAGTGTACTGCCCCTTACAGTCAGGGATGGGGTTACAATGGCCTTAAACTTCCAAGTGTATGCAACATCCGGGTGCATTCACCTGGCCTTACAGGCTGAAAGTTGATTTAAACATTCCAATGAACACTGATTTTTTTTGACCAATGTTTTCACATATCTATCCTCTTTGTTTAGTAATTTAACCTTGTGCTTTATGTTTATTCTTTCAAGTTTTTTATCAATAGATAAACTTTGTGTTTCATGCATAGTTTTTCTTTTAAATGAACCTTAATTTTTCCAATTAGCAAGATTCAAATTCCTTGGCCTCTACTCTTTTGAGATACTGGTTTCTGTAAATACACTCAAAATGCATAATGCTCATTAACCTTTCCTGCCTAATGCAGTATCATTTTTAACACAGTATACGAGCTAGTAAGACAGACAGACATTAGACAAACATAAAACATAAAACAATCTTTGTTGCAACAATACATCCATGGTATTGTAGGGGAGTTCAGCTGGTACCAGCTTGTCCTGATTTTCTGAAAGACAAAAAAAAAAGAACATACTTCTACCCCTTTGGGGGTGGCACATTATTATTTACATACTTTTTCTTTTACAAATATGCTTTCATTCCTCTTTTTGCTTACAATTACTCCTATAGTTACATATTTTTGTTTTGTAGGCAAAACAGGTTTCAATGGTTTCTACCCCTTCTTTTGGGTGAATTACCCCATTGTGTAATCATCAAATTCAGGAGGTGTACTTCAGTGTTCTTCTTGTACTGCAGACTAGGTTAGCAAGTTTCTGCTGTGTTAGGTTTATGTGTAGAGAATAGCCAAGAAGCATTATTACTGTAATTCTGGAGGATTTTCAGTGTCAGTTGTGTTTCCAATGACCATTTTTCTAAAAACATTCCTTTAGACTACTTATCTTTGAGACCAGTTTGTTAATAGCATCTTTAAATCTTTGCTTATACAGACCCCCTTTTGTATCTGTTTTCACATTTAGCATTGTACAAACATAAATCCTTTTTCTTGCTTGTTTTTAGATCTTGAGATTTTTAGATTCTCCTTTTTAGGTTTGACTCCTTTTTCCCACCTTTCTTTCTGGAGGGCTACAGTTTGAACTTTCTGATCTCAGGTATTTTGCTGATCAAACTAGCTATTACCTGCAATGCTTCTTTGTGCTGCCAGCTAGGGCATTTACACCACAGCACACTTTCTGGCTTGCTTTTAGATTCAAAGCTGTCTGTAGCTTTGTCTTAAAAAGAGACACAATCACTTTTGCCAGAGATTTAGAGTTTTGAGTTTTTACTTTTAAGTCCTGCTTTCACACACAGCAACCTGAAAAGGCAAGTACAACCTGTTGTGGCTCCTGGAGCTTTCACAGGATTTTGATTTGTTTGCAGTTTTTGTTTGTTTGTTTGTTTTTTACCCCTTCTACAATATACATGGCATGCCACAGGAAAATGTGCAGTCTTTGTTTATAACATTACTTAGCCATATTACACTTTGCATAGGGTGTAACTCTTTCTTTTATGCTCACAGAGTTTTCCTGTACTTTCATTGAACAAGATGGACTGAAATGGTCTTACTGAAAATAAACCAAACCAATTTGTTTTAAGCCTACAAAACAGTTCACTAACCTACAAAACAGGATTACTGGATCTCAAAAACCTCACTTATTTACACTATATATATATTTACACACAGATACACATACATTCTCTCTGAACATTTCTTACACTATTTCTACATAGCTACACAACGATTACTTTCCCTTTATTCATTGGGGTAGTTAAGTTCCAACAGAAACCCCCTTAAAGTTCTTTTAGCAGTATCTATAATCAAATGTATGGATTTGAGTCACATTTGCCTGGATTATTTACAGACATTCTTTTGGAAAAGGGCCCATTTTTCCTTCAGAATGGCTGCAAAGAAACCAATTTTTTTTTCCTATACCATTTTAGCATTTTCACAACTGCTCAATTCCCTCCATTCTCTGTAGAGTTAACTTCTCTGTAGTTTTCTTTTTCTTAAAACACTTTCTTATCTCTTAAAATGAAAACGGGCCTTGTTTCAGACATTATTCTTGTAAGTATTGTTTTAAGGATTTAGATTTCCAGTACCTGTACTTACTGCTTTTTCTCAGTTCGGCCACAATGCCTTCAATCTATCTTTTGCCTGCCTGCTTGTCTGGGCCTGATCCTGTTTTTCTTGCTAAATGGAAAGTGGCTCCTTTCCACAGACTCAGGCTTTGTCCCATTATCAGATTAGCAAGGAGGGTGGCCTTGTTCACTAAGCCCCACACCTCCTGGTCCTTTTTCTTAAGCATATTCCTGAAAAATCAGAGAGTTGCTTTAACTCTCAGTACCCATCCTTAAGGGAGTCTTGCTGTGTCTGGATACTGAGGGACATGCATTTCTACCTCTCCACTTCTGCAGCAGAGGCTTTTACATTTTGCAGTTTCACATTTGCATTCTTATATTCAGTCAATTTGAGGAACACCTCATTACAGGTTTCATAGGAGCCAAACTGTGTCTGCTTTTTCTTTTCCTTTTTTTCTTTTTCACTATTTAGCTTTTTTCTCCCTAGGTTTTAAATTATGTGGATGTCAACAAGAGCCTGTTTCATCCATGAATTATTCCCAAATGTATGCAGGATATATTTAAAAGGAATCTCTTTTACACAAGTTCCCCTCTCTTTTAAGGGCTACAGCACCTCGCCTGACCTTAGATTCCCTTTTTCTAAACATTAAGAATAGTCCAACCCACAATGTTACAAAGTATCCCAAAGTAAAAGCCTCCCACAATGTTACTAATTAAATATTCCCAGCACACTGTGCTATAAGCAAATATCTCCAACACACAGTGTTGCAAATCCACCATGTGGCTGGAGGCTCTAAGCTCCGACCTTGTCTCAGGACTCTACGGCCGAGGGTATTTTATACCAATTACTATACCCATTCGTGGGCTGGGGCAGGGATTCTAAACCTCCCCAGGTCAGGACTCTATGGCTGAGGGTATAGATACTGAAAACAATTCTTCACCAGTTTCTCTTACCACCCTTACCTAGTGAGGGGGAAGCAAGGACTCTAATCCTTCTTCCTAACCCGGGGATTCTACAGCTGGGGGTATGCATGCCTTAATGATCGATCAATTTCCAATACTTCTCAATACTTTTCAATACTTCTCAATATTTTTCAATACTTCTCAATACTTCTTTTCATTACCCTGTAAATGCTCGTGGTACCTTCCCCCTTTTGCATTCTCCACCAGAATGCTGAGCTTAAAAGAAGCACCCGGGATCTTTTTCAGCGGGATAATGCAACACGCCACATTTATTGAACATACATAGATCAATCAATACTTATCATATGCATATGACATATTACACTCGTGCACTCTCTCTCACACACAAGCACACTTGTCTTCTTGTTACCAAAAGTTGCCCCCCTCACTGCACTGGCCAGGTGAGTTAGATGGGGGAGGGGTGGAGCGAGGCTTCTGCCAATCCAGATGGATGCTCCCATGTTGACAAGACGAAAACCTGGGGTCCCTCTGCAAGATGCCTCATATTTACCAATTAGTCATCACCTTGCCTTTCTTAATGCTGCTTCAAAGAGAGTTCTTCCAAGGGCAGCACTTGCTGCTTGACTCCCAAGGTGTCTGTATGTCCAGTCTTCTTAATGAGCTCAATACAGATCCAAGACAATACCAAGACAGGTATTGTCTTGGATCTGGCTCCCAGACCTTCTCCACCCTTGCAACTGCTACTAAAACTTGGATCTGGCTCCCAGACCTTCTCCACCCTTGCAACTACTACCAGAAGGGCTCACCTTTCATTCTCCATTCACACCTCATTCATTTCAACAGGACAATCAAGGAAAGGGGGAGAGCTCAAAAAACATTTTTTCTTACAAGATCTATATATATGAAAAGGAAAGTTTCTCAATACAAAAATGATAGGAGAAATGTTACAGAGATTCTATAAGAACACTTAACAAAGGTATATCTAAAAGGACAAGATCTTAATACAAAGTTATATGAGAATGATAATATTACAGGGATTTATCCACAGAGTGAGCAAAAGAGAAAGAAAGAGAAGCAACCAGCTTAACAATGAAAGTTATTTATTATATATATAGGGAGCCAAGCGCACAAAACAGTTACAATATTAAATCTAAATTGGAACTGAATACAAATGTTAGGGCTAGCTAACCATATAACAGTTTACATAGGGCAGAGGCTTAGAGATAGGTAGTTGGGGTGGGGGGGAGGAGAGAGAGAGAGAGAGAGAGAGAGAGAGAGAGAGATCTCACCACTCCATGGAGCTTGCACTGATCGGGATTCCCAGATGGTGATGGGCACCGAGGGTCCAGAGGGCAGGAGAGAAGCAGAGCAGAGGCCCCAGCCCGATCAGACAGGAGATGATGAAGTCGCAATGGAATTGATGCAGTTTAAATCCAGGTATCAGAACAGTTTTTCTTGGGCAAACGTAGGAGTTTTTATAGGGCTAGGACAATAGTTCAAAGAGAAAGAGGCGAGACGATAGAGACTGATCACCCCTGGTTATGGGGGATGTTCCTTGAAGGAGCTCACAATGCAACTAGGCAGTTTCAGTATTTTGGATGTCAATAGGATCGTTATTAGAATTGGTCTGATAATGACTAATTTGGGTGTGAGCAGGCCTAGGTTCATTAGCATCTGGAGTAGAGATTTCCCATCAGGCAGTGCTTCTCTGCTTTCGGTATCCCACAGTTCACTGCGATTCCTGCCTTGGAAGAGCTGCTCTCCATTCTGTATGCTAATGAGTTCTATCTTCAATGCAGATGAGGCTGGGGTGTTTCCTCAGTTTGTTTAGGTGTGTCTTCCCTGGCCTTTTCATTGCTTTGTCTGATTCCAGCGGGGGGGGGCTACATGACATTTCCATGAATGTCACTCCCTGGCTCCCCAAGAGCACAGGGCTGGTTGGTCACAAGTGTGAAAGGGTTTCATAGCTGGGGGAAGGGAGTCCCTGCTGTGGTAGACCTGAGTCACTCTACTCTGAGTTTGGACACAGATGTTGGGGGGTCCTGGCTGGGGCAGGGACTTCCTGGCTGCTCTGGCCCCACTGATGCTGGGGTTTCCCAGCCTAGCTGCTTCTGGCCCAGCTGGGACTCCCCAGTTCCTGTGTTCTCCCAGCTGGCTCCCACTCCTGGGCTCTGGGGCTCTTGGTCCAGTAACATCCGTGGCCCTTTCAATCCACTGATGTTGCTGGACCAGTGAGTCCTGGATTTGGGAGGTTCAACCTGTAGCCACTCAGGGCTGTACCCCCAGCCACCTGTAGCTTCACTGGAATTCATGGCCTGATTTCCAGCTGGTGTCAGTCAACCACCGCTCTGCGGAATGGCACCAAGAGACCCAAGCGACTGGCACCGCTCACATCTCCGGCTCTCCAGACTGCCCCTGTGCAGGAGCTGGGTTTGACTTGCGTACCCCCAAGATTCCTGGCCCTTAAACATGCCTCACGTACAGAGTCAAGCCTAAGACTGTGCCATGTCACAGCGAGGCAGCATGGACAGAGCGCTGGCTTCCTCAGTGGGACCCTCATGGGACCAAATCGATCCACTGGAATGGAAATACTGCATTTTGGTGCATTTTGACATTTCGGTGTCTAGCCTGCAGTGCACTATCAATGCACCATTGCACGAAATGTGCATGGAATGACTGCGCGGGGGCTTTTCACCTTGCCTGGAGTAAAAGCAGGCAAACAGCTACGTGTGCTGATGTACCCCTGGATGATGGCACGTACCCCCAGGGGTTCACGGACCTTGCTGCGAGCCACGTCTCAGATGATTAGTAGAAACGGCGCCAAAGTTCAAACAAAAACCACATTGATTTTTTTTTGGTAAAGGTGAGCGTCGCCTTGACTGCTAAGAGCCGCGCTCGCCTTTCCGGCGGGTTATGGGAAATAAACAATTTCCAGGGAGGGATATTTCATGTCGTTTGCATCAGTTCCGTGAAGCCTGAAGATTTAGAGATTAAACAGGACGTCTCTGCAAAAGTAGAATTTAAAAACAAAGACAGAGCAAAGTTCTCTCCGAAGCCTGGAGTGGCTTCATGGCGTTTTTAATAATCACTATTACAAAGAAAAAAGTCACAACGTTACAGACCCAGCTTCATGACACAAAAGGCATTGAGAATATTAGCAACATCAGACCCAGCAGCCAAACACTGATTTATTCCTTTATTTCAATAACTGGCCTTTACAAATCACACAAACTATTAACAGAACGTTCAAATGAAAGAGAAATTTTGCTACCTGTGTAAAATGACTTATTGTTTCAAAACCCACCAAATGTAAATAGCTTATTTAAACATATATGTCTTAAATTACTTTGTTTTGTTTGTTTGCCAAAAGGAACTAAATTAATTAAATTAATAAGCAAAGACTGTGACTTTTTAAAAAGTCAGTGTAGCAAGTTGTTTTCAGTTAGCTGATTCTAGGAATTTTATGTCTAAAGGAAACTAATTTGAAGATGTTTTGGGGGTGGGCATTTTAATTTAATTTCATAAACTATTTCAGTAGTTTGTTTAATTAATTAGGTAAACATAATTATTTTATTGGTTGGAGAAAAGGAAATTCATTGGAAATTTTTGAAGAAAAAAGGTATGAAAATATATTACATTATTGCAATAGTTTAAACTTTAACTAATTAATGCATGCAAATTGATTAAACACAGGATATTATTTTAATTGATAGACATTTGAAATTATTTTAATTGCATTTTTCTAGTATTTTAAAAAATAAACAGTATTACTACATAGAAAAAAACATGATTTTTTAAAACATTAAATATAGGTAACAAAATAGTTAAACCAGAAACATTTGAATTTTCTTTGGTAAGCAGTTTCATTTTGCAACTTTTTAAAAAATAAGTAGGGATTTTAAAAATTGTATTTATTAAAATATTTAAATACATTTTTTCTAGTGATTTCCTTAAACAATGAACATTCATTTTAAAAAGTGAGAATTTTACTGATTCCAGAAGTGACTTTTTCAATCTAATTTATGAAATTATTTCTGTAATTTATTTCTAGTACTCTCAAAAGAAATCACGCAATTAATTAACATAGAAATCATAATTGGACAATATAATAATCAGTTGTTTATTAATTATCTACAGCATTAATTAAGGTATACTAATTAACTTGCTATGATATTAACTTCCATTTTGATACACTCTATGGTGTAGTCTATATTATATGAATTTATCATATGCTACTTTGATTAAGATAATAAATTAATTAACAAGGCACGTATTGGTAGTATATTAATTAGCTAACATATTAAACAATACTCATTAACTTTTATCTCTTAATTGGCTAGTATATTTACTAAACAAATAGTTAAATAAAATATTAATCAATGTATTAATCACCTACTGGATTAATTAACTGTCTAGCTTATTAAATATAATAAACACATAGAGATACAACTAATCTTTTCATTGCTAATGTATTCATCACCTTGATAGCTATTATTAGTGAAGCTATTGACTATATTTGTTTCCTAGCTAGTATATTGATTAAGATAGTATTACATTATTAACTTCCCCATTAATTGATGAGTATAAAAGAGTTAATGTTAATTCCAACAGTGATTCCCGATGGATCTATTAATTAACTAGCACAACAATTATCCTGCAGGTGAGTTAACATATTATCCAGCCAGTGCCTGTTTTTCTGGCTTCTGGGCATCCCACTTGCTGTGCCCAACCAACCCCCCCCCCCCCATCGGGCCACCCCTGTTGTGCCGGGTGCTGCTCAGACCCAGCTAGAGACAGGCCCTGCCCAGCCAGGATCAGGGCCCCGTTGTGCCGGGTGCTGCCCAGACCCAGCGAGAGCATCATTTCGATGCTCTCGCATCTCGGGCGGGGCAGCGCCTGGCTCCGGGGGGCTGTTTGCTCCCAGCCCTATCTCACTTTGTTTGCTGTCCTTGCACGAGGTCAACTGGGTGCCTGCTGCCTGCCCTGACGTGCCGGCGCCCTGCGGCAGACCCCACGGCGCCAGCCCACCTCACCCCCCCCTTCCCCGCACACCACCCCGGCCCTTCGATGCTCTCGCATCTCGGGCGGGGCAGCGCCTGGCTCCGGGGGGCTGTTTGCTCCCAGCCCTATCTCACTTTGTTTGCTGTCCTTGCACGAGGTCAACTGGGTGCCTGCTGCCTGCCCTGACGTGCCGGCGCCCTGCGGCAGACCCCACGGCGCCAGCCCACCTCACCCCCCCCTTCCCCGCACACCACCCCGGCCCATAGCCCTTGGCAGCAGAGCCAGCGGCAGGGAGGCCCCCCGCG